TACACTGCTGTGAAGTGCCTTTTATCTGCTGTGAAGCTGCTCCAAGATGGTTTAAAGCTTCCCGCACTGCTGGTGAATCCCGTTGGATCCTCTGTGAAGCTGCTCTGAAATGTTATGAAGCTGTCCGCACTGCTGTGAGGGCCGTATCAGAGCGCTCTGGCAACACCTTGTGTCAATAACACCATGAATAAGATAAATAAAATAAAATTCTGCTTTAATGGGACATCCATTGCAGCATTAGAAAAAGCATCTACACTCAAAAAAAGTTTGATCTGAGTTCTTTCAAATTGACAATTTAGTTGCTCAGTGTGTCATATGTGCTCTGGGCTTCAGGTCCAACTCAAGGTCCATGGTGCACATCAGTTCACCATTGACTACGTAGTTGCTTGGTGTAGGCACCACAGGTGGTGGAATGATATGTGAGTGGCACCTGGATCTTGTGGGTTGTTTGCTAGATCAATGCATATGCCAAACCATGTGTAGGTTGTGAATTTGTGAGATGGGGTGCTGTGAGAAAGGAACAACTGATTGGTAGGATTGGGGAGTGTACTTCATGCACATGATAGTAAGTGTGGATCATTCACCGGTGATTAAAGATGAAGGTCAGATTTTACATGTTTCTGGATGATTTCTGACCCTTGTACAAAACTTGATTGGCTGGTGTATGGAGACGTTGGTGAATTTTGTTGAGTTCTGTGAGCAAACCGGTCTTTTAATTGTTATGATCACCATTGGCTTATGGAATGGATGCTTCTGTGTTGTCATCCAACCAATTGCCCTTAACAAAGGTCTCCTTCTTGGTTGATTTGTCAGCCAGCATAGCCTACAGCATTCTTTACAAATTTATCTGAAATGGACCCTTCTGGTCAGTGCCTGGCCTGCCTCTCAATATGGCTAGTATATATTCAAGTGATATATTGTCAATTCAAATTTCTTGAAAAGGAAAGGGAAACAATTCACTGGCTTTGACTTTTGTCTGAATTTTGTAAACAAGCTTTGAAAACAATTTTTTAGCAGAAATAGAAGCCACCTGTGAGAGTTGTGGTTAGGCTGTGTGCTGGATGATCTGAGTAAGCTTGGCTAAGACAGTTTTCAGGGATGGAGTGACCCAGCCGCGTAAATCAAGATGGTTGTGGGCAGGGGTCATTGGACTGAAGTTAATGTTGGCAACTGGTGGCAGAGTATTGAAGGCTTGTTAGGACCTGTCTCAGGGGATGAGGCTCGTTGGTGGAATGAAGGGATGGTTATGTACCAAGCCATCAGATGAGTATATTGGTGGTTGGATAAAGAAGAAAGCATCTATGTAATACAACTGGTGAGTAGATAACTCTTAGTGACATGTCATGTGCGGTTCACAAGTGCTACATGTGGGTTTGTACCAAGGCTGCTGAATTGTGAAGGGAGCTGGATTGTGAAAAGATGGTGAAGTGCTTTTAGCAATTGGTGGAGGGATGATAGAGAGGTGTGGTGTACATAGAATTCTGATGTTGGCAGGAACATCAATTTTGGCGTGTTTGGGGGAGGGTAGGGGTGTGGGTCTTAGGGACTGCCACAGGGCAGGTAAATGAAGCAGTGGGGGAGCAGAAACTGGAAACAGTTGTCCTGCATTCAATTCTAAGATATATATACCATAGAAAGCAGACTAGACTGAAAAGTTGGAATTTCAAGAGAAGATGAAATTGGTAAAAAAAGAGTGAAGTACCAAAAACATTCAATCTGATCATAAAACTAAAGGCCCAACCGTGTTTCTCGGCAAAACTGGATTAAACCCCTAAGCCTTAACAATATGATACCTACGACTCCAATGTCCTTTCAGCCTCAGTTGCTCCCTAACCCTCTTGAACCTCCTCATCCGCTTGCTCCGAATCCGCCACAAATCTGGAGTTCGTTGCCACAAAAACTTGAATCAGGACAAGACGAGACCACTGAAGATCCACTGTTTGATCACAATTTACTCAACAACAGGTATTAATTTCTAAACCACGCATTTGAAACCTTTCAAGCCCTTCAACATCAAACATGATATCTACCATGCGCAAAAGGTGTACTGTTTTCTTCTGACACTTTTTTCTTCTGTCCCTCAACTAGATTAGAAATACACTTGATTCACATCAATCAATAATTACCAATAACAGTGATATCAATCAGACAACCACATCAATCTCAGTCTCATCTAACTACACCAACTCTACTGTATTATCATTCAAGTTAATCATTCAAGTTAAGGGCAAACTGCGTTCGGCGGCAAAACTCAATTAAATTTAAACTCTCAATCCCCTTCCTACAATTTCAGGGTTTACACATCCTAATCATTTAATTTAACTCCCACGTTTTCCACTATTATGTACTTCATTTGTCATCAGAAATAACAACTACACCCCAATTGTGTCCTAGGATTAAGCGGTCATCAAAAAACTTGTCGACTTCATGATCATCCACTTCAAAGACATCTCATCATACTTTCCTATCTATTGATCAATCATCAACACAATCATTATGAATTCCATCATGATCAAACAGACAATAAAACTGCATTTAAATCTCACCCTTATAAACTCATCAGACATCGGACAAGGAGGACACGTATGAACTCACCATTAAGATTACCTGTTCTGATCACAGGTTTGGCTACTACTTTGGCCTTTACAATCTGGTGGATAAGAAAACCATCAACTGTTTGGAATACTTATGGTAAGCCATGGTTTGATTACTGATCTAAAGTTCAATGATCACCAACTAATCAGTGTCTTTCATTTGGCTTGAATCATAAATCATCAAGTTCAATCGGCTTACTAAGCGGAACATCAACAACAAGGCCTTAGCCACTGTTTACTCTTCTGATCGCACCACATCCTGGTAGACCAAATCAAATCAACCCAAACACCATATTACATTCAATAACACAACAAACTGCTCACCTATAACAATATTCCTTCACATTGATCTGCATTCCACCATCCTCATGACCATTCACAATACCATTTCAAGTTCAGAAACTCGAAAATCTAAACTCATTCTATCCGCATCCAGATTCAAAAGTGATCCTCCCAATCAAAACAGAAGATGGATTATCAGAACTCAATCCAAGTTGGATCTCTAATGCTCTGTATTTATTATTCCTGGATCCACAAAAACCGAGACCAGATCAGATCATGAGCACAAGTGGACTGATACGATCTCATCATCATCGTCTAGCTACTCGATTCGACTGTAAAGTAGGAGACGCTCAAATTAGTACTCGAGACGAATTACCTTTGGCGCCGATCCTCATCAAATCTCAACAGGGAGAGTCCGATCAAAGGGGTCAGGATAGATTGTGCGTTCTTTTAGAAGAGTTTAATTGAAATGTGTTGTAGATATTGAAGTCATGACTAGGACAACAAGCAAGACGAGGATCAAATCTGAGTCGAGATGACACCAATTCTTTGTTTCAAAAGGTTATTTGGTCTTACTCTTTCCAAAGAACTCGATGGATCCGATCGAAATTTCAGTCGTTACCAACAATCGAGTGAATTTATTATCAAGAAGTCGACTTTGTAGAAAGAGTAGGAAAATTGAAAGATGTTTATTTAGTAAAAGCTCATAAAGAAATTGCCAAAGCAGGTTTCAATCATCTGTACTATCATTCACTTCAAAGTAGCTGAACAAATCAAATCAAACAAAGAGAAAGTACGATCAAATGTTATGATTACTTTAAGCACTTACTACACAATCAATCCCTCTCACGCGAAGTCTAAAAACTAGGTCAATCATATTGTAACAACCAACGTAGATCCGTAAGCCCCATTACTTTCATCGCAACAAGCTATCAAACTAATGAAATCCATTGGCAAACAAGTCTTACAAAAACAGCATAAATGAAACCTAATTTACATTCCATCAACAGATAGCACCACACTGATCATCAAAAGAGAACTAGAAGCACCAGTGCTCAAAAAACGAGAGGAGATGAAAAGTTTAAGTCAAAGACTAGGATCTCAATTTGATATTAAAGATCCACTTTGGCCAAAACAATGGCATACAGCTAATGATGAACTTTGTCAACATATAATCAATGTAACGGATGTTTGGGCAAGTGGGATCACGGGCAAGCACGTTGCTCTAGCTATTGTGGATGATGGATTAGCTATGACTTTGGATGATCTAAGTTGAAGTTTGTTGAGTTTGATTCATTATCAAAAAAGTCATTTGATTAGGTTACAATTTACCAATTCCTGTTTTCTTTGAGATCAGTTTGGTTTAATTTGAAGCTGGATCTTAGGATTATACAAATAGTATTTATTTGGCCACTATTAGTGTGGTCAATTGAAAATATTTACATTCTGATTATTCAGAAGTTTGTGCGGCTAATATGGTGGTTACTTATTCATCTGGTTCGGGTGATGATATTGTTATGTGTATCTTCTTTTCTTTTCCTCATATCTTTCTTTCTTCATTTTTTCAATCCTCAATCACTTGAAAAGTTTGCCAGGAAACAATTCATTATCTTTGTTTCTTGGAACTGACTCATTTTTTCAATTCCCATTGATTTTTTTGCTCATTTGATTCAAATCCTATAGCATACAACTGATGTAGGAAAGAATAAATGTACAAATCAACATGGTTCCCTATTTCACAACATCATCAAAGTATATGTGTGTGTTGATGACTGAAACATGTTTGAATGGTGACTTTCATATTTACAAAGTGTAGCAACAAGTATGCCTAAGGACATGTCCACTTACAAAAATTCTGACAAGATTCTGCATCCCAAAAAAATAGAAGTGTTGGTTTGGTGAAGTATGGCTCATTTTGAATCTTGAAGGTCACAGAATGTGCTTGAGTGAATGCACCCTTAGGTGGATTTTGCTAAAGCACATTCCATTGGAATGTGCATTCTGTAAACGTTAAACTTCAACAATATGCTCTATCAAACCAATACTTTGAATTTTCCAGAATGCAAATTCTTGCCGTAATTTTGTCAAACAAAAGCACCCTTAGCAGTTAACTGTGTACTTGAAATTAAAAATAGATTGGAATTGCTTGGGGTAGACCTGTCACTTATTGTTCCCGTACATCATGTATTAGAGGTATCCATTAACACTCATGATTCCTTCAACTCTTTCAACTTTGTTATGCTTTGAGAATAAACATCATGGATAGATTTTATGTTTTGATGGAATCAAATCTGATGGTAAATTTTTGGTTGATCCAGTTTGTTCAGGTTGTGTGCTCAATGTATATCATCTAGAAGCACCATTCAGACTTCAGTCTGATACGTGTTTTACATCAACCTTTGGTTGTTGAGGAGGGGTGCTGCCGGCCCCCACCTGATTGTGCATGGTAAATGACTTCCCAATCTCACAAAGTCTTGCGGTCTGGACATTGCCTGGGTGGGTTTGTTGGTATTTTAAGAACAGAATACACTTAAGCAATGAGAGCTGAGCTGTGTCCAGATGTGAGCCACTTGGGTGCAAATGGTGGTACTGTTGTTTGGGAATGTAAAATTTCTTACAACAGTATGCAACCAAAAAAACTTTGCTTGAGGTCATTGTAAGGAAGGAGATCATGTAGCTGTAGCATATCTTTAGTATTTGTAGAGAGAGGGTTTATATGTTGTCTATTCCTCTCCTTCCTTCCTTCTTTTTTTTTTCTTTGAGGTTTCTCTTCCTACTCTCTCAATCTTCCTGTTCCATTCTGATCTCTGTGAGTGGTGTAGACCTTTCTTCTGGTGAAAGAAATGTTGGTGATAGATCAGTCTAGGCTTTGGTCTGAAAGTCTGATATCAGTGAAGTTCAAGTGGAACTTGACCTTACAGTCATCTTGGTTATAAGAATAAGTGATTTTCCTCATCTGTGCACACCTATCAGCCATGGACTTCCAGAGCAAGCCATACCTTGGTTGGTGCTCACAATCACAAAAATGATGATATTACATCAGAAGTATTTGATGAAATTTGTAATGAAACTCAGCTAAAGGAAGTTTAATCAAAACCATTAACCAAAAAAAACAGAAGAGAAATTTGAAATCAAGAAAGAAGAGACTGTAAATCCAACGACAACAACATTATCATATCCCTTTTTCATTATACAAAGTGATGATTGAATTGACTTTGAAAACAAAGCCTCTCCATCACCTTTTTTATATCTATGGTTCAACTAAAGACTCCCATATTGAAATTTATCCTAAAAATCTTAAATCTGGCCATATCACTTAGGCGTAGAGTTCAGATCTCCAGGTCTTGTGATAGTTCTGATAATGATCACCAAAGAAGAGGCAAAAATATCAGAATTTCACATACAAAAAATTTGTCTGGCAATTCTTGAGAGATTCAAAATCATAGGATTAATCTCTAACACAATCTTCTATCTCAAACTGCCAAATCTGATAGAGTACTTCTCCAAGAAATTCCCAGCTGAAGGTATCTCTTGTCGTTATGTGAAGTCAAGCACTGACAATCATATGTCTCCTGAGTGTCTTGTGTTGATACAGTGCAAGTGTCTTTGATCTTGCAGTGGCGGGACCAATATTGATTGACACTCTCGGATTGAAATCTCCGGGTGGATATTTGGCAATCAAGAGTGGAAGAGTGTGCAATATTTCAACTTGAATCCTTTTGTTTGATAAAAAGGCCAAATGAATCAATTTTCAATACCTTTCATCTTGATTTGAATCTATTTTTAATGATTTGGAAACGTACTTTTCACCTACAGAACAAATATACTGTATGTTAACTTTGGCAGCATTCCAAGCCAAAATTTGCTTGATCAATTGCTCACTGAATTGAATTCTCTAATTCAATGATTGAGACATGTTGAAGACACTGAACATGGATATTCTTTTCAATCTCCTGGGTTCAATAAGGCACAACTTGGTGTTTGTTGCACTTCCAAAAGAAGCGCAAAAGCATGTATTCTAAAGTTCAGATGTCAATTATGAAAGTAAAAGATGTGGTTGTCTGTGTCATAGACCAAATGAGACCATTATATGTGCTTTTGTTGTCAAACTATCCATATGAAAATCATATAGTACAAAGATGAATATGATCATGCTCATTAGTGTGCTACTCCCTTTGGAAATGTGATACCTCAGATGAGGGTATGCTTTGCTTTGAATTAGTATCCCTTCTTGCCTAGATTGGGGGTGGCAAAATTTCAACCAACCGCTTTCCCAACCCCATTTAATCATAGTTCAACATTTTAGGAATTATTTTGAGATGGCTCAAAGCCAATATCAAGGCCACTCCTAACCACCAACATTTTTATCTATCTTTTTGCTTTCCAAGAAAGTAGACCAGTATCATATGCTTCTTGATCATGCTGAATCTGTACCCATTCAAAATTCTTACAGAGGAAAGGAATTTCCACTGCTACAAGCCGCACAAACACCCCTTTTGCGCCTTTCACAGATCTCTGAGTCCGATGATACCTTGGATTTTTCAATCCGAGGCATCTTTGTTGGCTGTGTGGTCTCAGAGTTTGAAATGGCGGCGCCCGCCGCCCAATTGGCTAGTAGAGTTTTGAATGACAAGAGTAGACTGAAGATTTGAGGATTCAAGAAAGGATGAAATTGGTACAAAAAAGAGTGAGTTACCATAACAATCCAATTCTATAAGGACAAGTGAAAAGAAACTGAGGTTTTGTGAATTTTGTTCATCCCTTTCCTCTGATACATTTGTTTGATTTTTTTGAGTGCCTCAAGTCTGCTATTCACAGCCGAACTTGGAAGACTGACCACCTGCCACAACTAACATCTTGTTTTCTAGGTTGGTTGCCAACTAATGCCTGATAATCCACAAAACAAATGTTATTCAAGATATATGCAAGGACAGATGGAAGATGGGGTTTCTTACCTTTCGTATCTGACATGGTCCATGAGGGAGTATAATGCAGCAGCAAAAGTATGAATTACAGCCACAGCTCCTCCTATGATGTATTTGTATTTGTGATCATCAGATGCGTCATTCCAAAACTCTCTTGCGTATATGGCTGGAAAATTTGGATCTGTTGGTGGTCGTACAATCCCGTGAGGTGGTGTAAACGGCATTGGTGATGGAATACCACCAGGGGCTTGTGGTGTAAACACCATTGGTGATGGAATAACGCCAGGGGCTTGTGGTGTAAACACCATTGGTGATGGAATACCACCAGGGGCTGCTGGTGTAAGCATCATTGGTGATGGAATCACGCCAGGAGCTTGGGGTGCAAACTCTGTTGGTGGTTGAAACTCTATCAAATCTCTATCATGATGGATGGCGCGAGACAAAGTTCCAAACTCCTTCTCTGCCTGTGCTTCCATTTGGGCTGCATGTTCCAATTTCTGATTGTATGCTTGAGTGATGCCTGAGTAGACCACACCAGATGATCCACAAGCTGATGGGTCAGCCAATTCTAATTGCTTGGCTGAGTTGGCCTCAAGTTGAGGGATCACACTACTAAGGGCAGTGTGATTCATCAACATATTGATGGTAACAAAGATCTTTTGAAATTTCATCTTGCGTAAGCTGTCAAATGTATAGAAGATTTCAGTTCCAAGGCTTGATACTCTCTGAAGCCTCTAACCAATATCATCAACAATCAAACAAGGGAAAGGACTCAAGATTTATTGAGATAAGAAGATGTAGGAGATTGAAAGAGAAAAACCATTATTTGGTGCCTGGAAATAACCTAGGGTATGACAAGGTTTTAAGAATTTCTCAGAGAAGGAATATCAAGGATCTAAGGAAATTTGATATCTAATGAATTCCTAACAAGCAAATCAGTGTTGGTATATGCTAGAAGTATAAAAAGAAAAAGAAAAATTATTGTCTGTAAAGCCTCTAACCAATATCATATATCAGAAATTAAACGAGGGAAATGACTCAAGGTTTATTGAGATAAAAATTTGTAGGGGATTGGAAGAAAACAATCATCTTCTTGGACCAGCAGATAAAATAGGGTATATCAAGGTTTCAAGAAATTTTCAGGGAAAGAATATTAGGGAACTGGGCAAATGGGATATCCCATTACTGCTTAACAGGCAACACAGTGTTTGAATATAGAAGAAGGAGAGACATCAAGAGCAGAATTTTAGGAAAAATCAAAAAGTACTGACAGAAAACAATTCTTGTAGCTGGAACTTATATATATTGGGATCCAAATTTTCTCAGAGTTTATTGCTTATATAGTATAAGTTTATCAACAACTAATAGGAAGCTGGAAGTGAAAGACTTGAGTTTGGACCCTGAGGATATGTTGCTGGGCA